TGAGCTAGGCAAGCAGATGCCCAGCTCAGGTTCCCCACATCATCCCAATCTCCAAATATGATCTTCAACCATGAATTCCTGATAAAATTGTTGAATTTTTTTGGGAAGAAAACTCCTCCGATCATGCCGAGGATGTAGATACGTGCATAAATTTCTTTATCACGCTCCGAACTTTCCTCCGTGAGGGGAATGCCTCCGACCTCAGGGTTGTGCTTACGCCTGATCTCTGCTGTCAACCAAGTGATGGATACTTGGCCCTTGGACAATGGTGGATTACCATACGCATCGTGATCTCCCTTTTCTGGCGGTACCAACCCCGTGACACTCTATATGAAATGCTGCCAACCACTCATATTCACAACAACTTTAGCTGGTGGAGTAGATACCACACAAAGAACATCACCATCGATGGGAAAATCGGTTAGGATGGTGATGTCCTTAAGTGTGATAGTGCACTTGCCTTCACGAAAATTGAAGCAATGTGTCTTCTTTCGCCATCTCTCTACCAATGCTGTGATGAGTTGGCGGTCGATCTTTATTCCATTAAAGTGCCTAATGGGATCCAATCTTGCTCTTCTTAGAAAGGGCAAGATGACGTCGTTCCATTTAAGCACATTCACCATACCCCTATAGCGGACTATATGGTATGCGTCCTAGGGAAGAATTTAACTTTCACTATAAGTTTATGATTTATACATATATAAATCTATTATAACAAACAATATCAATCATTGAAATCAAGGTTTTTTTCCAATAAATATACATAATTAAAAAAACATTAGTATTAAGCTAACTAAAATAATTAACTACAATGTATACCATTTTCGAAATTTAAGTAAAATTACTTTTTTACTCATACATATAAAATCAAATATATTATTTTGTACTTCGTATTGATTGTTTTCAAAATTTAAAGCAATAGGCTGTGTTGCTATTTCATTTTAATTAAGTGTAGGTCTTATAAATATTGAATGCAATTCTTTTCAATATACACACATTTATACTTCTTTCACTATTTATTCTTTAGTTAATAATCATATACTAATGTTAATCATAGACATTCCTTATTCAAGTACACTCATAAGACTCTTAGGAGAGGTATACATCTCCTTAGAAACACAGCCTGTTTGACAGAAAAATGGAGGGATTTGAGGATCGCTTAGAACCCGATTTTCCCAGAAAATGGGAGGATCATGATGATCGCTTAAGACCCCATTTCCTTAGACATGCATTTCTTTATAAAGAGTCTAAATAAGTGTTGGATTGTATTGATTTAAATTATTGAAAATAATCAGTACGATTAACAATTAACAAATCTATTATACAAACCAGTAAATTACGTTCATATGTACCTTGTGGTCGTTCCAAACGTCCCTTGAACGATGATTATCTTGGTTGTATAATACAGTCGGATCAATCGATCCTTGATTAACATAATATCGTTGATTGTATATATCAAGATCCTCCCCAACCTACAATAGCATAACAACAACATAAATCAATTAGTATATAGATTAAATAAAATCATTACAACAAAAACAACAAAAATTAGGTAAAATGAGTAGGTACTACTTGATAGTCATCAAAGTAAATACCCTCTTCTTCGAAAAAATCAGTCATTTTTTCAGGAACCGGACAGAGATTCAACGGTTTTTTAATGAAAACCAAAGGAAAGTTTTTTTAGGGCAGATCAGACTTAGCCTCAACCAACAAATCACTATTTTCAATGTTTTTGGGTGGAGAGGGGATGGGTAGAGTGATAAACTTAGAGAGAGAGAGAGAGAGAGCATATTGATTTTGGTGTGAAGAAAATGAGAGGAAGGGGTGGGTATATATAGGTGGAAGACCGCCTGGTTGGGGGGGAGGGTTGTATTTTTACCCCACCAAAAATTGCGCCTCCAACACACGGTTTTCTTTTCCTGAAGCGAAAACCGTGCCCTCGGGGAACGGTTATCAGTGATGGACGCGAATCGCTCCGGCAGGCGGTTAGCCATCGGATCGCCTACCCATCGCACGGTTGCATGGACCGCCACGTGGAGTAGCAGTTTTGCAGTTGCCCAATGGAAAACCTCCTGTTCCCCGCGTGGTTTGAAGGAGAACCGCGCCTTCGTGGTGCGGTTTATGATTAATGGTGGTAGTTTTGTTGGATTGGGTGGTACTTTTGTAACTTTTTTTAAAGGATGGTAGTTTGAGAAAAAAACCTGGTTTATGTGAGCTTCCTTTATGTTGGGCTTTTTATTTGCTGGCTGCATGATCCTTTTCTTTTCTTGATTGATTGAGCCCATTGTTTGGGCTTTAATATTTCTTATTTATCTTTTGTTGCCTTTTCTTGGGTGTTTCTTACGGTCCAAGATAGGGCCAGTAACTACTGGTTACTGACCCATCAATAACCACACGCGGGCCGTAGATCTAGGGATGGAGAAATCATGTGGATGGGCTGGACGCTGGGTGGGGAGGGGCATTTTTGTCCGTTTTTGTATTTTTAATTTTTTTATTTATTCCGCATTTCAATGGCTGGCTTTTCAATGAAAGAGAGAGAATGGTCTTTTTTCTGCAACTGAACTTTCTTCCTTCCCTCTTCTTTTTTTCAATCTCTTTCTAGATCCTTTTTCTTTCTCTATTCCTTCTCTCTTACTTTTTCTCTCACAATCTCCTTTTCAAATATAAATCTGCTCTCTTCCTTCTTCATTTTTTTTTCTCTAGCATAATAATTGTAGCCACTCTCTTTCATTGCATTTCTTCTCTTCATCAACTCGTTGGACTCAATTCCGATATTTCTCATTTTTTTGGCATTTTGGTGTTCTAGATTGAGGAAGAGGAAATGAGAGGCATCAGAAGACGATTTTTTCTCTCCCTCCTTCTGTTTTTCTCCTTTTAGATAATATATATTGATATTATGACTCTATACCATATGGTATTGGGGGGTAACGAAATATATATTGACATTACCACACTATACCCTATGATAATTTGTGGTATTGTGTGGTAAAGAAATATATATTGATATTACCACTCTATACCATATGGTATTGTGTGATATTACCACACTATACCATATGGTATTGTGTGGTAACGAAATATATATTGATATTACCACTCTATACCACATGGTATTGTGTGATATTACCACACTATACCATATGGTATTGTGTGGTAACGAAATATATATTGATATTACCACACTATACCATATGGTATTGGGTGGTAACGAAATATATATTGATATTACCACACTATACCCTATGGTAATGTATGGTATTGTGTGGTAACGGAATATATATTGATATTACCACTCTATACCATATGGTATTGTGTGAATTGTGTGATATTACCACACTATATCATATGGTATTGGGTGGTAACGAAATATAAATTGATATTACCACACTATACCATATGGTATTGGGTGGTAACAAAATATATATTCATGTGGCAAATATTACCATACCATATGGTATGCTATTGTTTAATACCAGTCAATACCATATGGTACAGTCAATACCATATGGTATAGACTGATAATAACTGACAATTTTTTTTGTGTCCAAAAAATATCAAAGTGGATATCATTTTGAAGAGCACAATTAATCTGATCTTACTGTGCAAAAAAAAATTAAATTTCGACTTAAAACGAGTGAGAAATCGTCCGTTAAAGATTAAGGGAAGGAAAATTAAATGTTTTGCGAGGAGAGAGAAGGGGGCGCTGATATGCTCCGGTCAAAAGTGAGCATCAGCAATAAATAGGAGTAAGTGCAATTTTACCGTACTGCCCTTTTCACATTTAATTTAAATAAAAAAGTGATTGATACGTGGGGACCAATGAAGGGGTTACTGATGGGTTACTGACCCATCAGTTACTGACCAGATCTGGACCAGTTTCTTACCCAACTTTGCTTCACTACTGAAATGCAATACAAGCAGGTTCTTTGTAAAAAGGGAAATGATTATTTATTAATCAAACCTTTTTTAGAAACTTTTTTATTGGAAATCCTATCGAAATACTAAGAACTAGCCAAACGATTTGTAACACGTCCAAGTAGTAGCCATTAATTTGTTACCGTTAACTATTTTTAATGGTGCTCCATCTCAGCGTCCAACTCAGCTGCCACCTTATCAATGAATAAAATAAAAGTGGGTAAACACTAATTATTAGCCAAACCTTTCTCACATTCTTTTTTATAATCCAAACCTATTGAATTACTAATAATTGACCAATCTTTTGTAATGCATCAAAATATTAGCCATTTATACGTTAGCATTAATAATTTTGTAACTTTTTTCTTAGTTAAAATACTAAAATTTTGGAATGTTGACCTCCATGTCTCTTTCAAGTCAGTATCATGTTGCCAAGTCAATATTACTTACAAAATTGCTAACTGGAAGTTAACATTTGACTAATTATTAGTAGTTTAATAAGTTTGGCTAATAAAACAAATGTGGAAAAAATGATCAATGGTTGACTGGCTGATGTGACATTTTTTGACTGCCACGTCAGAATATTCCTTCCAACACAGCGCCACATCTAACAGCTCACCATCATCAAACAAAAAAGTTAACGAATTTAACGTTTGGTTAATAAATAGTATTTCAATTGGTTTGGATAAAATAAAAAATTCGAAAAAAATAAATAGACATTACTCTAAAAAAGTAATGTTCTAGGGTGGGAGCATGGGGAATCCCAGATTCTAGAAGAGACAAGTTATCATATACACCTTATAGTAATGGTCACCGTGACATTGACAACTTGGGTATGAAAAGCAAATATTTATTAGTTACATTTTAGTAAATTGTATTTGAGAAGTTACAAATACATATTAATTATATTTTTCTCTCTTAAGAAAAAGAACAATTGCATTTTTTTAATTCGTTGTTGTCTTTTTCCATGTCATTGTGAATAAACCATGTGCGTCCATAGGTACATACATAAATACGCTACGTTGTGGCTGCAGCAGGCACCCAAATTCATGATCATTTGATATGAGTTCAAGTACATGTATCTCCTCCTCTTCTTCATAATTATGCAACAAATCTTTAAATACACAGGAAAAAGAAAGAAGAAAAATTATTGTTGAAAGCTTTGTGTAGAAGATCCATGCAAACACTTATTGCTAGCTAACACTAAAAAACAACGAACTTTCCCGACATGGTTCTGAAACGTTCGAGCTCTGTTTTTTCATATATCCCCTAACAACAGCGACAACAAAGATTTGGTGGTGGGGGCTCGCAACACAAACACTGTGGACAATAGATTGTAGGTACCGTGCCTGCGATTTATCAACACACAACAATAGTGTTAATGTGATGAGTTAAAGAACATCGAAGGATTTTGATCAAAGATTAATTGTGATTTTTCGGTTCTTGTACTATAAAATGAGAATCATATGTTTGAAAAAAATTATGTATGGAATTTTTAACTTTTTAAAATTTTGGGTAATTACCATAAATGGTCACAAACTATTCACTTTCTACAAAATGGTAACAAACCTTTAATTTTGCACATTTCAGTAAAACAAGTTCTGAGTGCATAACAAAAAGGTCAATCCGTTACCTTCCGTCCAAAAATCTATTACTTTTACGTGGTCAGCATGACATGTCATTAAAAAATTAATAAAAAAACTCATTTAATAATCCGAATTAATTCTAACCGGGTCACTAGCTTTATACCCACCTGCAGTACGCTAATTAATTCTGACCCTTCCGTTCTCCCCCAAATTAAGCTCCTTAATTGCCACGGTGCACGACACCAATTTCAGTGACTTTCTTGGCACCGTCGAAGGTAATGCCATTCTTAATCCCAATCTATATCAACATTTTTTTATTTGACCATTTGTTGATGATTAAAGTCTCCTAATCCCTAATTTGCAGTCTTAAGGTTGATGGAGAGCAAGACGGTGGCCGTAATCGGGCCACTGTCGTTCACCGCGAATGAGCTCCAAGTTCGGCTCCTCGATCTCCTTCTCCGCCACCGAGCCAACGCTCAACTCGCTCAGTTCCCTTTCTTCGTCATAACGCAAAGCGACCTCTACCAGATGGCCGCCATCGCAAGAAACGTCGAAGGCGTCAGGAGGAGAGGCTAGGATGCTCGATTGGATGTTGGAACGCAGTGTAAGGGATTAGTGCAGCGGCAACCCGACGATTTGGACGGGGAGAAAGAGAAACCACGGCGGTCGGAGGGATGAAGGGTACGGGAGAGGAAGGGTCGGTATTAGCATACGGTCGGGTGGGTATAAGTAAGTGAACCGGTTACGGTTGTGCGGGTTAATTCGGATTATTATGTAATTTTTTAGTGACGTGTCATGCTGACTGGATAAAAGTAATGAATTTTTGGATGGAAGGGGATGAATTGACCTTTTTGTTATTCTCTCAAAGTTGTTTTATTGAAACGTGGAAAATTAAAGATTTGTGACCATTTATGATAATTACCCTCAAAACTCTCGCATAGAACAAAGAAATGACCGAGTAATTTTATTTTATTTTTATGTATAATTCATAATTTTATTGCAGTCACAAATGAATGAAAAGTACCTATTGGTGGTGGAGGTGCTCCAAACCAAATGTCATCAGTGTTGGCCAGCAAGCCACGAGAAGCTTCAGACGAGTGTAGGATGTACGGTGAGAATAACATTGCCACGATAATTAATATAGACAGAAGTCGTTGCTTTTGAGAGCTATAATGATAATTATTATTTGCCATTGTTGTTGCAAAGGTTTGAAGATAATAGGTAACAAAACCGAAGGTATAGTACTTGTGGATGAGTATGTGTTTAGAGGTTTCTTTCCAATTTATTTATACTACTAGTGTCATGCCCGCCCGATGAGTGGTTTGTTTGTTTAAACTTTTTTTCTTTTGTTGTTTGTTATTTTTTCTTAAATGATGTTAAGTTTCTATTTTCTACCGTTTGATCAAGAAAATTAGAAAACTGAAAAGGCATTTAACTCTTAGAGTAGTGATCAAAGAACTTTATTTGGTGATAAAGTAGGCATAATTTTGGCGTTATTTATCCAATTACGGTTTAAGCTTGTCAATTTTCATGTATCTAAATAAATAAAGGAGTTATATTAATCAACAAAATGGGAAAAGAAATAATTGGATTTGTATTGAAAAAAAAAGTAAAAACACAGTTTTCAATAAATGTACTTGAAAGGTAGGAAAAAAAGAATTGTGCATATACATAATTTAACTTAAAACAATCTCCGAATAATAGGAATTTATAGTAGGGATGACAATTTTGCCCATATCCATGGGTATTTTACTATCCAACCCAATTGGGTTGGATATGGATTCCAAATAAATGGTAGATGGGTAGAGTTTGATGGATTTATACCTATACCCATTTACTTGGGTTGGGTTGGGTTTTTAACACATAGATTCAGGTTCGTACCCATGGCCAAAGGCAAATTACAGTTTGGTACCTAAACTTAATAGATATGCAGATTTAGTACCTAAATTTAATTTTTTTTTTTTGCATATAAGTCCTCAAAATATTGATGGAAAATTACGTTTTGGTACCTAAATTTTTTTGGTCTTACATTTTGGTACCTAAACTTTTCAAGTTTTACAAATAGGTCCAATTTTGTGTGTGTAGTTAAAACACCCTCAAGTAAATGGATATCCATATCCAGCCCATACCAATTTACATTATGAAAGCAATATCCATACCTAACCCAAACCCATCTACAAACCCCCCAACCCATATACACTTCATCCAAACCCTACCCATACTAAATGGATTTATTTGGATTTGGGTAAAATTACCCATGGGTGGGTAATTGCCATCCCTAATTTATAGTTCACTAAAATACGACATTACAAACAAAATAACAAATTATGGTATTTAAATGCAACAGCTACCGCAGGACCGAACTAAGTTAATGTCAACTTCAGTTTATACTTAAATCCAACCAATAAAAGCATATCTAAATGCTCATATTTAGATTCAACAATTTCTTTCTTTTTTTAAATTAATTTCACTTAAATGAAATTTTTTGTTTAGAGATTAAAAAGTTGATCATTCCAGTTTGACCACAAAATTTTCCAATTTTGACCGATGATTGCTACTTTTTATCAGTTTTAACTACCACTTTGTACTGTAATCTTCCGGCCTGTTTGTCTCCAATACTTGTTGAACTGGTTGTACTGACCAACATAACAACCATATAAAAGTCCAGTCATTAGATGTAATTGGAATAATTAAGTCTTGTTTGGCTAGAAGAGTAACTATGTATGATTATTGGTTTGAAGAAACACAAAAGACAATGCAAGGCAGAAATTAAAAAATAGAGAAAATATATAATTTGCTTGTTTATGGCAATGATTATAAAATTGTATCGGAGGTTGTACCAAAAAGATGGCGCTAAAGTATTTTATGCTGAAATATTTTAATCGTAGTTCAACCATTTCGTACCACTAAAAATATTCTACCAATTTAGACTTAAATCGAAGGATTTCTGCAGGGCTGAGAAAATAGACCAGACCGTTAGAAAAATCATGGTCCAAACCGTACCGTACAATTTGGTCCGGACCGTAGACCGTTAAGTATGGTATGGTCCATGGTATGTATTATTTTATGTTTTGATTTCTTGGTCTGGTCTAGACCGCGGTTTACCGGACCAAACCGTGGACCCAACTGACTTGTCAATACGTATTAACAGCCCATTCGACCACTCTCCCAACTCCCACAACGACACCCAAGTCTCAACCTTAGTTTTGTGAATCTCGTCCCTCCTTCATTCACAATCACATTTAACCAGAGAGTAGAGATAATTGTGTCTCCATATGACATTATGTTAATGTTTATGACGTTATGGTGCAAGGTGGGATGCTTTTTCTTTGTATATTTGTTATGTACTAAGATTTAGGGTATCAAAATTATTCATGCATGTTAGGATTAATGAGTTAAGGCAAATAACAATTATTTTTCTTGGTTATTGGTTAAAATTTTTGTGTGGTTGACTAAATAAATAATTCATTTTTCGTTGAGTGTGGTCTATCTGGACCGGACCAGACCAGACCGAACCAGACCGCACAGGCGTGGTCTAGACCGGACCGTATAGTTTGTGGTCTGATCTGTGATCTATACTTCAGCCTCTCGGTCTGGACCATAGACCGTATATATGGTCTGGTTTGGACCAGACCGCACCGTTTCCCAGCCCCAGATTTCTGTATCGAATTGTCGGTACGATAAGGTTTTACTAACACTAATTTATAGGCAGAGCTGGGGCGGAATTAATAATAGATTCTCCATTAATTACAGAAAATTATCCAAAGTTGTAATTTAGTCTTTATCTTATACAAGGAGATATGTTGAAGATCCAAAAGAAGCTGGCTTTGTGGAAGTCTCGACATCTTTCCTTAGCAGCCAGGGTGACTTTGGTGAGATCTATCTCAACCTCCATGGCTGTTTATCCCATGTTCTCAGAATCACTCCCAGAGTCTGTTTGCAATTCTCTTGACAGGATTAATAGACAATTTGTTTGGGGAGAAGAGGAGGGCAAGACTAAGTTCCATCCGATTTCCTGGGAGCATCTAACCTTACATAGAAGTCAGGGAGGAGTAGGGATCAGACCTACAAGAGCATCTAATCAAGCTATGTTAGCCAAAGGAAGCTGGAGACTAGCATCGAATGACCACACTCTCTGAACGAAGGTCTTGAAGAACAAGTATGCTTGCAACAGAGATGGACTGGCAGCGCTCTCCAAAACAAAGGGAGGCTCTTTTTTTTGGAGGAGTTTTGCCTCCATTTTGGATGTCGTTAAAAAGGGATATGCTTTTAATATATCAAATGGTAGAGTTGCTAAGTTTTGGACGGATCCTTGGGTTTTGCAGGTTCCTCTCGCTGAACTTGCAACTGCGGAAATTGCAGCAGACAAGCTTGGATGGAGAGTGGCGGATATGTGGGATGGTGATCATGGATGGAGACTGGAGGAATTTGAAGATCTGCTTCCTGCGAGCATGTTCAACAAGATCTGGGCAGTCATGGTGGACCCGTTAGCATCTGAGGACGACCGACCTATCTGGAGCTTGACGTCGAATGGCAAATTCTCAGCCAGTTCAGCTTACAAGGCTTTAATCCCTCAAGTAGGAGAACAGCAACCTATTTGGAAGAAAATCTGGAAGCTTCAGGTGCCCAAGCGAGTGAGGATGTTTATTTGGATGGCGGTGAAATGGATGCTGACCACCAACGCAGTTCGAAAACACAAACATCTGGCAGATGACGACGCTTGCCCTGATTGCGAGGGAGTCGTGGAAACGAGTCTCCACTGCCTTCGTGACTGTGACTCGGTAAAGCTAACATGGAATAGGGTCGTTCCTAGTGCACTTCGGGCGGTTTTTTCAGTGCAAGTTACGAGAGCTGACTGACTTCTAACTTGCAGAATGACTGTCTTGGCGCCAGGAAAGGCTGTTGGGCGTCCTATTTCAGTTTCATACTTTGGTACATTTGGAAGAGCCGAAACGACAAGGTCTTCAACGACATTAAACTCTCACCGACAACGCTGCACAATTACGTCACTTCCAAGGCTGAAGAATGGAGTAAAGCGTGGAAGGCAGCTGCTGCAAGATATGTGAGCGCTTCTAAACCAGCCAAAGAGGAAGTTTTAATCAGCTGGGTTGCGCCAAGATCATGATGGTGGAAAGTTAATATAGATGGAGCGGCTCAAAGTAATCTGGGAATAGCGACAGCAGGAGGAGTTATTCGTAACTGTTATGGAGACTGAGTAGGAGGCTTTTGCAGTAAGCTAGGTTCTGGTTCTACGCTGCTTGCGGAGCTGTGGGGAATTATACAGGGGCTGCAGCTGGCATGGTGAAAAGGAGCTCAATTCATCATTCTTGAGTCCGACTCCAAGCTGGCTCTTGATCTGATCAACCAACGGTATGACTCGTCACATCCATATTCAACGATTCTCGGCCATATTCGTCGTATTTTGGCACAAGGCTGGGTGGTTCAGCTGGTTCATACGTACAGAGAAGGGAATAGGTCGCGGGCTGGCTCTCGAACCACAGTCTCGTCTATCCTATCGGTACGTATGAGATTGATGATCCACCTGCACAGTTGGATGTGTTGTTACACGAAGACGTGCTGGGAATCAGCTTCCCAAGGAAAGTGTTACAAGATCGATAACCTGACCTGATGGTCTCTTGATATTGACTTAGGATGATGGTGTTGTTTTGGACCCATGATGATAATTCCTTCTAATGTTTTGCTTTGCTTTTGCGTATTGAGCTTGCAGAAGACCTGCTACTGCTGCTTGCTTGGGCGCCTCTGTTTGGTTGCTAAACCTATGGCTGTGTATCTGTGCTACCTCGGCTGATTGATAGCCTCCCTTGAATAAAAATAAAAAATCTTATACAAAAAGAAGGCTGCAATTCATTAAAAAAAATAATGAAAATGAATTAATTGCTTGCTTTTATGTGGGTGGGGTGCTCTTAATTACCATTATTTTATTTGAATTTACTAAATCACTAATTTAAAACAGTCAAACTCTGTTTTGAATGACCAGAAAAGAGATGATAAAAAAATAAAAAAAACTTGTGAAGTGCCAATACAGTGGGGCAATGAGAGATCAGCTACGACTGACGTGGCATATTGTTTGCATAGAATGATCATAATATATGTTATATAGATAGATAGATAGATTTTCTTGATCAATTTACATGTGGTGTGATCAAATAGTGTATGTTCGGAATATCACCTAACCCTTCTTACACACCCTTCATTTTCTATAAATAGCATCTACCCCTCAGGTTTTGATAAGAATTTTCCTATAGCAAAACTCTGCCAAAATCCAAATTGAATTTTCTGCATTCTTTTCAAAAGATAAATCGAGTCAAGTGTGGTTCTCGCCGATTCGTTGAGTTCGTTGGTTTCTGGGGTTTGAGGTACCGCTACGACGGAAAGGTACATAATTTCTATCATGGGAGGAATCATTCCATAACCTTGGATACTAGAGGGGGAATTAGATTCCATATCACTTAAGATTGTTATGGATATGTTCACGTACCAAGATTCTTGCAACACAAGTCACATGAAGAACTCAAGACTCGTCAAAACATGCATAAACACCACCGAGCCAATATAATTCTCTATTTCTCCTTAAGAAATTTAGTTCCCCTCTACGGTACTCACTGTTATGGAACTATTCCTCCTAGAATAGAGCGGACGTATCTTTTCTGGCGTACCGGTACTCGAAACCCAAAAAATCAACGAACACAATGAATGACGAAAAGTCACACGACTCTATTTTATGCATTTGTAGAGAGGAAAAATTAATGAAGAAAACACATTTTCTTTCTTTCAGCCGAAAATCCTTTTAACAAAACTCGCCTATGAAAATAGAGGGGGTTGGTGCTATTTATAGAAATGAAGGGGTGTGTGTGAAGGGATGTGACCCTTGGGGTGGGTGGTTAGTAGTTAAACCCCAACCAACCCATTGGTTCATTTTAAAATAACGAACCATTACATTGGTTCGGCTCATGGTAGTTGGACTAGTTGGTTCACTCCAACCGCCACATCCGTCCGGTTAAATTTGTTTTGGTTCGGCTGGTTACACAAACCAATTTGACCAATTACCAAAAGATTAATCAAATCAATTGACCGAATCCAAGTCCTCCTTCCCACATATAACCAATATGGTATTTCAAGAGCTTCTCTTGGCTCCTTCCCCTTTCATTCCTATTCACAGCATTCAAAATCCGAACAATCCCCCACATGAATGGAGAATGCAAGCTTTGAAAACTATGCAAAAACTGTGCGACTCTCAACTAAGAATTAGTTGTATAGGGATAGGTCCATTTCCCTTTGAACCTTACGTAGTGAACATATATCGAGTATACTCTTATCGGTTTATTGGTTCTCATTGTTGTATTCGTTTAGCCATGAACTCCCCCTGGATTCATGAGTGCTTGGAGAACTTGCCTTCTTTTATTCTCCTTGAAGCGGCTCTACTTCACACTCACATAGATGATTTCTAAACATGTATTCCTTAAATATACTATTTGATCACACCAGTGTCAAACTTAGAAACCATTAAAAACCTTTCAACTTTAGGTTTACCCTTATTGTTGGACATTGTTTCTTATGCATATATATGCTACTGTGTATTTGGTTTATATGCATATATACGTGCCACATCTAGTGAGTTCTTATTATATATGTAACACTATGTATTTGCTTTCTACTGCAAAGGAATGGCCACTGGTCATGTACATCTTCATGGTGTAGCGTTTGTGAAAAAGAAATGATGAACCAAATGACTTTGGTTAATTGATATCAAATAATTTTGTGCTATTTGAGATGAGAATGAACTCATAATTCATATTTATATAATGAATAATAATGTGATCATATTTAATAAAATATGATCGAACACCAAGTTTTAATGCGTTCATCGCATTGGTCCAATTCATTTATGTGGGATGAATGAATGAAAAGGGTGCAAATTTAATTTGGACAATTGTTCATTTATTCAATGTGAGCATGAGATAGAAGCTTCTAGCCTCAATGTGCTAACATGTTCCACAAATTATGAATGAATTCAATTCAAAGATAGTCATTTATGGCCTATCAATTATGGTGGATTGGATAATTTCACGCTATTCGCTTAGGAAAATGTGAACAATCATAGGTGTGTAAAACCTATGCAGCGAGATTAGTGGGGACTTGTGAGTCAAGTCTATCTAAGCCGGAATGGTTGTAAGGTTATGTTCAAAGTAAGTTGAACATATTTATGAAACAGTATACCTCCAATATGTTGGAGATGAAATTTGGTTAATGCACGTCAAAATGATTGCATTACGAGTAAGCCACAAATGATAAGGAATTCTCAATTCCTATGATGCTAGTTAAGACATGATATACATTTATCATGCATGTGGTTTAGGACTTGATGTTGCATATGCATTGATGGCAAGGAAAATAAAGATAAGATTGATCCTTACGGGGATTGATAAGCTTGCCAGAGAATGGTGATCATCAAAGTAATCATCGTTAGAATTTTTTATGGTACATGTACACAATATACCATTGGAATATAATTTGACTTATGATCATTATGTGAAGCTAGCTATTTGCGAGAATTGTTTAAGGTATATATAGACTTATAGCGTTGGCAAACAATTTGGCATGAGAGCTTAATTAAGATGATCTTATTGAACTTAAAGTCCGAATTACTTATGATATATTTATGAAATTTATACCATTGACAAGTAATTAGACTATTGACTTAGAAAAATTCATCGGAATTACTTGTGGTATGTCAAGCTTTCTTGACTAATGCCATTGGTAAGTAATTAGATGGCATTTCCATTACTGGAATGCATCTGAATTACTTGTGGTATCTAGGGCTGTCCATTTGGTTTTGGTTTTTTGGTTTTAAGCGAAACCAAACCAATTGGAAAGCTAATGGTTTCAGTTTTTTGGTTTTAAACCAATAAGCAACTTAATGCCTAACAAAAACGGCCAAAATCAAAATAAAGAGAGAAAAAGAGATGTATGGCTGAGGGGAGGAGAGAAAGAACGCATGCATGGAGATTCTGTCTGTCGGAGATTCGAGATGAAAGGACATCGTTGGCTAAGGAAGAATTAAAGGAAGTCCATTACTGAGAGAAATGGTGATCTCGTCTTGCTTGCTGGGAGAGAGGAAGCTTCCGGACCACCTTTTCCAGCCAGATAGCGAGCGATCACTCAGCAATGAACACTAACTGAAAGCGGCCGGGAATGAGTACCTATCGTTTTGGTTTGGTTAAAACCTAAAAACCAATAGAAACCATTAAGAAACCAATAAGAATAAAATTATTTATCAACAAATATTTTTTTTTTGTTTCTTTTGACACGCATGCCAACCAATAATTTGTTATGGCCATTTACCATTATTATCACGTTTATTCAATAAAAAGGAGAAAAATAGGAATAAATATGAGTGTATGAGTACATGTTGGTTTTTAGTTATCCAAACCAAAACCAAAACCATTAAGGCCCTTATTGGTTTTTGGCAACCAAAAACCAATAAGAGCCTTAATGGTTTTGGTTTTGGTTTTTGGTTTTTCATACTTAATGGTTTGGTTAACCAAACCAAACCAAATTGACAGCCCTAGTGGTATCTCATGTTGCCTTGACCAATACCATTGGTAAGTAATTAGATGATTTTTGGTAAAATTTGAATTGTTAGTGGTATGCTAATCGAATTAGAACATACCATTGGTAAAGAATTAGATGAAGATGGTGGTTGTCAAGTTCAATAAGTAAAACCATGAAAAATAAATGGAATTATTCCATGATGTTTGGCAAATAGTAGAATTGTGGAGGAGAAGAGTTGTTGTTCAAGCTACTATTTCAAAATCATACAATGAGTAGCAAACCTATCTATAAGACGAAAATGGAAAGGTCAAACAAGTCATACTTGAAAGTATGAAGGTGTCGAGTGAGAAAGCGCAAGTCCATAAACCTTGTGGAGTTAACCCAATCTTAGGGTATTACTTATGTGTAAAATCTAGCATATATTGACATTTATGTTAGGGAGTTAGTCTAAGAAATCCAAAGAATATTTCTCAGGCATGTTAGTACACTAATGTTTTGACCATATACATGAAGGTATATGAACAACATTCCTCATATCGGAAACGTTGATTTCAACAACTATCGTGAAATAGTTTAAATGTGGGGATATATTGGGGAGAAGTGATATGAAATGTCGCTTGGGTGATTCCAAAGTGAAGTGATTTGAATACTTAGGAGTTTTACCTAAACCCTAAGATAAGTCATAAAATATCACTACATTGTAAGAGATACTTGTGAAGTTCAAGTACTCTAAGATTAATGAAGTAGAGAGGCTACAACACCTTGATCGTGTGTTGTGATTATTTTAAGGCAATAAAATCAAGTCAAGTACACATGATATGTAGTGAATAGAAAGAGATGAGTCTTTGGTGTATTATACCCAAAGGAACTCACCTGATGAACCAAAAGGCAATCTATAATTGATATGCATTTATGGTTGATGGGAGTAGTATCTTGGAAAACATTCAAGTTAAAATATATACCCACTCCAGAACCGGTGAAGTTCAATAGTCTGGTCCGCAAAGACTAGCGTTAATAAACGCACTTGTGAACAAAATTGTGATTGCAAGGGCTAGAAGTGTTATGTGAAAATCTTGTCATAGATAATGGAAACATAACACTATTGATTGATTAATTTATAGCAAAGTTATCGGAGTTGATCATTTAGATCAAATGATAACAAACGTGGGACCCACCTAGAAATTAATTTAAGGATAGAAAGGAATGAACATGTGGCCTAGGACAAATCATCATATCGGTAACTTTACCTAAGTAGGATTGGCAGACCCAACCTATAGGTTCAAGGCCAACTCTCTAAGAACTCATGAGACCAGGCGGCGTTCATGGCTAAAACGAACACAACAATGAGAACCAGTGAACATATAAGAGTTAGTTGTGTGACATGTGTTGTTGTAGATACAAGTAAAACCGAGAGTTCAAAGATATCACATCTACCAATTGGTGAGTATACTCGATATATGTTCACTAAGGAAGGTTTAAATGGAAACCTACCTATCCCCATGCAACTAATTCTTAGTAGAAAATCACACAGTTTTTGCATAGTTTTTAAAGTACAACATTCTTCATTCATGTGGGGGACTGTTGGAATTTTTAATGGTGTGAATGGAAATCAAAGGGGAAAGATCCAAGGGAATATTGAAGTACCGTTTTGGTAAGATGTGGAAAGGCGTTACCTCGAATTTGATCGATTTGATGTAATATGTGGGCAATCGGTTAAATTGGTTTGTGTAGCCAACCAGACTAAATCGAACCGAGTTAAAATGAATCGAACCAAACTGATAAGGTAGTTGGAATAACCAAACCAATTAACTTCCATGGGCCGAACCAATGCAATGGTTGAAATATTTTAAACTAACCATTGCAATGGTTGGCGTGTAACCACCCATAGGAAGAGTTGCCTTCCTTCATACGCACCCCTTCGTTTTCTATAAATAGCACCTAACCCCTCTGGTTTTGATAAGAATTTTCCTATACCAAAACTTTGCCAAAATCCAAACTGAAATTTCTGCATTCTTTTTAAAAGAAAAATCGAGTCAAGTGTGGTTCTCGCCGATTCATTGCGTTTGTTGGTTTCCGCGGTTTGAGGTACTACTAGAAAGGTACGTCGTTTCTATCATGGGAGAAATCATTCCATAACCTTGGGTACTAGAGGATAATAAGATTCCTAAGGAGAGACATTGAATTATGTCGGCTAGGACCTTGCTTATGTGTTTGTATGATTCCATGATCTTATAATTCCTTGTGTTGATTTTGTGACTTGTTTGTTACTTGTGTTGCAAGAATTAGGATACGTGAACGATTTCCACAACACTTAAAACCAACATTCAACATTACTTGTCAAGTTATACCTTTTTGTTGTAATGTAGTCATAGTCGTACCTTTAGTTTTGTGCTTTCGTTGAATCTCCACACGATTAGGAGTAACTCACCATAGTTTGTTCCAAAAATGGTTTAAGGTCATGACAAAAGGGGTAGTCTATTATGGGATTGTTGATACGACTTTGGTGGATCTTCGATATGATTTTTTGATGATGATTTAAGCTAAATATAAAGTATGACGTTGGCAGATGATGTGAAGCTTATCATTGATACATTAATTCGACTTCTCTTCACGATATATGGTAGGGTGGGTTTGTCTTTGAGGAGCTTTGTCTTGTGGAGTAATCCGATTTGAATATTCGGTTTGTTTGCATGTAAAACAATAGCCCATTTTATGGTTGTTGGGGATACGAGAGTCTTGCCGCGCGCCACCATCCATATGAACATTAAGAAGAAATGTTATAATCATAAGGCGTCATGAAGGAAGAGAACCCAAGGAAACCACCTAGAGTTCGCAGTGCCCTACAGACCGATATCCTGGCCCATTGCATTAATTATTCACCTACCATAGTAAATGCTATAAATAGAGCATTTACTCTAATGAAAAAGGATTGACATTTGAACAATAGAGAAGCTTATATTACTTTCTCTCTCAATTCACATTTTCTCTTAGTTAACTACATTCTCTTTGTAGAAATATCCTATTCATACTACTCGTGACTCTTTTCATAAGTGTCTCTCTCCTACCCTCAGTTAGAGACAAACAATGTCTATGAAGACCATTTCTTTGTTTTCTATAACTTATGGTGGAGTCTTGAACAATATACTTATATTTCCTAGGTAATTCAAGTGATCTTTTGTTAAGAAAATTAGAGATCCTTCTATAGAAACTTCCATTATCATCATGTTGTAACAAAATAACTTTTACCATTAGTTCGATGAAAAGAAACTTATATATACCTTTGATTTCATAGGTTGTCACCGATCAACCCGTTCAAGAGAACGTTTGTTAATAGCTCCTTAGATCTTGGTGTTAGTAACTTGATATCAATATTTGTTTTGTAAAACTTAGCAACAGTTGAGACTTCTGGTAACTTACACTTAATGCCTTGCAAAAGTAAATTGAATATATAAGAAAAATTCAAGTCATTGTTCTTAAATACATAATATCCACATGAATATATAAAGACATCTATCTCCTGAAGATATTTGTACATGATGGATAACAATCACACTACTGCATGAACTATTTATGATTACCTTGCTTCGGGCCCTTGTTCAAGTTCGACACCTTTGGTACTACTACTCATTGCAAAAGAATCATTATTGAATTCTTCTTCCACTTCCCCATCTTCATTCACTCTTGCACTCTCCTCATTAGCAACCTCTGCATCTAGGCATTCTTTGAGCTCAGAAACTACATGGTTCATCATTGGCCTTTGAATGGAGATTGATCGGATGCAAGAGATCGAAACCTCTAGTAACTTCCAAGCTGAGTTGGTGTCAAAATTTCCAAGTAGGCGAGGATCGACTAAGTTCCTCAGGTCCCCCTTTGCGATCAAGGGCCTTGCCCAGTTGCCGATATGTGTGTTCTCATTGTGCCCAACTATTATAGCAGGCCTGCCAGTGATCAATTGTAGGAGAACTATGCCAAAGCTATAAACGTCGCTCTTTTCTGTCAGTCTGTTTGATGTATAGTACCTGAAAGTTTGCATATTAGAACTACAGTTTGGCTTGATCTTTTCAAACATCTAAGATTTCTATGAGAGATGTTAAATAAGTTTGGGTGAGAGTCTTACTCGGGATCGAGGTAACCAACAGTGCCAACAACCCTTGTGGACAAATAGCTTTGGCTCTCAACTGGGAAGAGTTTTGACAAACCAAAATCTGCTATCTTCGCCTGCATTTTATCATTCAATAGAATGTTAGAGGTCTTCACATCCCTATGGACTATTGGTGGTTTGCAACCAATATGTAAATACTCCAGGCCTGCACATGATCAAAGTTCAAATTAGGTAACACTACCAAAGCTTGTAACTCTTACACAACTAGCAATGTCGTAAAGGTCTTTCACCTTGGGCTGCATCCAATGCAATTTGTAGCCTCTCTTTCCAACTCAATACCCTTCTCGAACAATCTAGGAATGCATAGGAATTTTTTTGGTCAAGGAATGTTGAAAGTACGATAAATCCTGGTCATCATGACCATCGATTCAACTATATATGGTGGTAAGTGATTCAAAGTACGCAGCTTGGCTGTAATCCTTAATAGGCGATAACATATTTCTTACCTGATATATATTTCTCCAGATCTCCACCTGCCATGTACTCATACAAAATTGCAACATTGGTTCCATCGTTGCAATATCCTACAAATGATGCCAAGTTCTTGTGATGAATTCTTGTTAGTAGCTGCGCCTGCAAGAAAAGTAAACAACTTTAGTGGTCTTGGATCTTTTACAAATATTCTTCTTTATTTTTAGGTCAGACCTCAGTTTGAAACTGGATAGAGCCATGAGTTGCTGATGGAGAGAGCAACTTGATAGCAACTTCTGTTCTGGTTCCATCATCCAAGTGGCCATGGTAAACTACACCAAATCCTCCTTTCCCGATGATAGTTCTGAAGTTATCGGTGATTCTAATGATCTCTTGGTAAGTGAATTCCCTGCTCTCCAACTTCATTCCTGATCCTAATGCTCCATGAGATTTTCCAATTCTCTTGCCTGACACAAATTTAAACAATTTATATAACCATTGTTACACTTCATGACAAATAGTTACTATATATTCACAATAGCACTTGGAAAGAGATGCATGTTCTTCAAAAATTTATCACCTTTAGTACTTCTCTTGTACTTCCAGAGTATGAGAAATGCCAAGGTGATGACGAACAAAGGGACGATAGTCGCGATGACAGGAACAAAAATGCTACTTTTCTTTTTCTTGCAAGGAGATTGGGTGCAGAGTTTCGGGTTCCCATGTAGACTGTTCCAGGTAAACAGTCAAGCATCCTAATATGAATGGATTCTAAAGCACCAAACAATTTTGATAATTTTACCTTAAGATGAGTGACCCATTATTTGATTTTTCGATGAAAGATGAAGGAACTGGCCCAGACAATTGGTTTCCCCCCAAATTCCTATGATAATTTTCACACAAGTATCTTAGATCACCATTTTAAGGATTGTTATAACATGGTGAGTTTTCAGAAGACCTACAAAGTCCTCAAACTTGGTAGTTCTGATAGAAATAGCGGCACTTCTCCTGATATGCTGTTGTTCGACAAGTCTCTAGCAGATCACAGGAAAAAGTTAAAAAAATTTCAAGAAGCTGGCCATTTTTGTCATTAATGTAGGGTTCTTACAAGTGTTCTAGCATATGAAGGTTGGACAATGAGATAGGTATTTGTCCTGTTAGTCCACTTGATGACAAATTCCTGCATATTTCCCATATTGAAGTTACGTTTATAATTGAAACTAGTTTGATACAATGGAACCACATAATGGTTACTTACAATGAGATGATTCTGTAAGGCCTATAACCATTGTTGCTGCAATTTAGTCCATTCCAGGGATGAATTGGAGCACATGGGTCTCCTTGCCACCCTTTCTGAACCCCATATGTTGACTTTATGTCCTCAATAGCATCAACTGTAATGAGTCATTTTTAATTCAATCCAACAATGTACACTTAAGTAATGAGTCAATTGTTAGGATAACCACTAAACTTTAGATCACTAATAAACCAATCATCGAATTTTGAGTTTTTGCAAAGTTGTAATTGAAGTTTTAAATAACTGACATGTGCCCTATTTAGCTTACATGAACGACCCCTTTTAATCCATACTCAATTTAAACCAAATTCGCCACCACTGGACCATGAAACACTCACCATCTGCTTGATCGGTTGGGCTCTGCCAAAATGGACGAATAACAAACACCTCGAGAGCATTAAGAATAGGAGGATGCGTAGAGTTCATGGACTTGCTCAACAAGAAATTGAGCTTGGATCCCCTCACGGACTGTGGGCTGGTGATAGTTGTGGAATGAAGATAGATTGGAACTACATTTCTTCTCAGAACTATGCCATTGAGAGAAATGTCGAATACCCTTGATTCTCCCTCCTGTAGGGCCTCGAGCTCGGCAAAGTGCATATAGATGTAGAAGTCTAAGGTTGCCTCTCTAGTGTTGAGCTCGAAACTCAGTGGCTTGTTCTCGTCCGTTGGTCGTGTTGCTGTCTTCATAACTTTTGAGGGCAAATTGAAATCCGTTCGGTTCACAGAATCAATTGTTAGTGTGGTGTTGATGGTTCCACAGCTGTAGCAATTGTATGGATACCACATTCGATCATACGCATCGTCGTTGTACCTGAAAACATTAAAATCTTATGCATTTTCTTGCTGCATAAACTTGAGAAAGCATACGTTGGTTGAATATATTGTTTAGCTTATAGACAGAACCGTTAAAATCATACATATTCATCTGATTTCATCTCCGACTCGTAATGCTAGGAAAATCTAAAACCAAACTCTACCAAGAAGAAAAATTACTAAGAGATGAGCACTATTAGTAAAATCGACAAATTTGAGTTCCTATCTCCGATCTTTTGGGGTCACCTTGTAAACTTCTCGGAACCCATGCATTATGAACATTACACATAACAATCATAGCTAGCTATTATACGAAAGAACTCATAAATGGAAAGAAACGAATGACAGATGTGTTCAGCCGCTTATCACGAGTGATCATGAGGTTTATCTCACGTATTTAGAATTAATTAATTACCATTTAGTTTTAAATTGAAACTGTCAGGATTGCCGAGTGGTCTTCGAAATTGTTAATTATACTTAAAAAGTTACAATTTAATTTTTAGAAGAGAGCGTGGGTTAAAAAAAAAGGTTCTTTCACATTTTTTTCATTGGAAATTTTGATGCTCCAACTTTCTTATAGCCCATATTCTACTAAGAAACAAATCAACCACTAAAATTTGACTACAACAACAACTACCCTTCATTACTGCGCACCTGATAATCTCCCCCGTTGCCGATCCAAAATCCAGCCTCTCGTAAAGCACCAGCGGCGCCCCACTCACGGAAGTATAAGTCGAGTTGTGAAAGTGCCTGACCTCCAAAGCCGAAATGAACGGAGTCCCAAGTCCAGTATTTACCAGACATATGTAAATATGATCCAACGGCGGAACATGAATGATCTCCTTGTTCACCACATGGGAAGCATTGTCAAACCTCAACGAGGCCCAGCGGTTGACTCCGACGAACACGTCGAATTCCGGCAGGCGGTCGTTGTCGTCGTAGTTACCGTACAAGAAAGTAGCCCTGATCAAGTAGAGCGTGATATAAGTTTAGTTTTTGTCGCATGGTACTAGTTAAAAGATTCGAACCTGATCAAGTAGATCTTGTCCCTCCCCTCTGGCGGCCTCATGCTGTAGCAGTTCCTGTCCCCCTCCGGGAAGCTCCTCAGCGTCCGGAGCGGAACGGGAAGGTCGTCGGAGATGTGGATCGACGAGATCTCGGAGTTGACGCCGGTGGTGATGTAGGCGTCGTCGGCGATGTAAGGTATCTCGGTGATCGGGTCGGTGTATGTGGCGCCGGTGGGTAATCCGCAGTCTATGTCGATGGAGCCTGTCAAGCGTTAAGAAGTCTAAAGCTTTTTAGCAAGGCTTTTTTTCTGACCAAATAATGCTGTAAAAAGGACCAATAGAGTCGTTGCAAATGATTTTTAGCAACCAATTTGTTGCTTACCAGCTATATCGTCCAGTTTTCTTCTAAAGGCACCGGCGCTGGCTGCAACGCGGGACGACTCTGCTGTGGCTATGACGTGTAAGCAGAAGACGAGAAAGAATGGCACAGGAAGCCATGGGGGATGAGATTTGGTACTGCTACTCTTCATGTTAATTTTGGTGAAGAATTATTGGAGCTATTTTCTTGCGCCTCTCTTGACGCTAGGAAGGAGTGTGCGATTGAGTAGAGAGAGATGGTACGTATGAAGATAAGGTTGGTAGGCGCCATTAGTATGGCCGAGACAGGAAACTAATTGTGGTCGCATTAATATGACCGGGGACAGACCAGTAATTAATGGTCCGACTGTAACTTGCATGTGGACTTTTCTAAGCTAGCTGGATAGAGTCAATTGCAATTTGGGTCATGAACATTTGATAGGTGCTACTGTATTTTTGCCAGGCATGAAAGGACACGACTTTTCGATTGAGAGTTTGATCTAGCCATAGCACTACTTGTTTCAATGTGAGGATTGTAGATTTGGATTTCAGTGTGGATTTCCCCTTTCTTGCATACGATTGGATAAACGTAGAAGGAACTAAAGATGAAGATTGGGGAATCGAACCCTTGCCGGAGCTCAGAGTTATAGCTAGGGATGACAATCAAATCCATGGCCGCGGGTACCGACCGTCCCCGACCCAGTCAACGCGGGTAATCCCCGCTTTGACCGGGTATGGGGCGGGTATGGGTAAAACTCGCAAAAAGTTTGATGGGTACGGGGCGGGTATGGTTTTAGCCTCCCCGCCCCATACCCATATCCGCCCCATCAAGAGAATTAATTTCTTCACATATACAAAAATATATGGATAAAATTGTAATCTATCAATGGTGATGAGGATACCTCGAGGAAATAAATAGTAGAAATGCAATTGAGTGACAACCTTAATAAAAACCTAATTCATTTCTCTCAATTCTCCTTTCACTCTTTCACTTTCCCCTTTGTCAACAAGATTATGTTAGTTAATTATTACTTAGTAGATGTATCAGAGTTAGAACATAATAATTTGGAAAATATTATACTCTATATTATGTATTATTGAATGTTTTAGGATCATATTCTTTGAACCGTATTAAGAAAATGATCGCGTTTTGTTGAATTCGTGATATAATAGGTATGTTTAGAGTTGTAGTTAAAACTTTTCATGTAAATTTTAGGATAATAATGTTGGATGTACGGGTATGGGTATTACCCATGGATACCCGAAACCCACGGGTATGGGGATGAGTTTGCTAAACATTCGCCCGCATGGGTATGGGGCGGGTATGGGTTTGGATATTTGAAGATGGGAATGGAGATGGTTTAGCCAAACCCGCCCCAAACCCGCCCCATTGCCATCCCTAGTTATAGCCTTGCTACGAAGATGTCCAAACTTGGAAGCACTAGATGGCCTGAGCTTGCGCGATGAGCGGATCAGGTGCATAACCCAATTAGAATCCGTCATAACAGTGTTCTTTTTCTATCTTAAAAAACCTTTAATTTTTTCCCCTTTAATTTTTAACAGACAATTTCTCAGTCGTTTTAAGTCAATTTTTTTTTTGCACAGTTAGATCAGATTAATTGTGCTCTTAAAAATGATATCCACTTTGATATATTTTTGGAACAAAAAGAATTGAGTCATTTTTTATCAGTCAATACCATATGGTATTGACTGGTATTGAAATAAGAGCATATCAAATAGTATGAAAAGCGTAATGGTGTTATGAACATACCAAGACTATAGGATGGTTGAATACATTATAGTAAGAGTATATTAACTGTCATTTACGACTTTCAACATTATATACCACAAAATACCACCTCTGTACAAGAGTGGTATTTTGTGGTATTGTGTGGTATTTTTTTATCATATATTTTTTTACTCATAAATTTGTAGATCCAATAGATCATGATGAACTCGTTCCTTCTGTGCAAAAATTTTCAAAAACGACTTAAAAACGAAGAAGATATCATATCGTATGCAGTTAGCAACGAGAGACATGAAATTTTTTTCTCAAAAAATATTGAAAATGGAACATATTTTATAGGGCACTACGAACTCATTCCATCTGTGCAAAAAAATTTGAAATTCGAGTTAAAACGAAGAAGATATGTTACGATTAAGAAAGCTAGGAAAAATAAAAATACATTTAATTCTCCACCCGTAGATATGAATTTTCTGAATGAAGGGTTCAGAATTCAGATTAAGTTACTAATAGGTGCATAACTATGGGTTATGCACCCTATGTTGAGCCGTAGTATCATTAAGTGCCAAGTTAATTTAATAATTTATTATACGTAGGCCAGATGTCTTTTATTTATTGGTTAGTATTGTGTTAGTAGTTAGTGACCGTTAGAACAATGTATAGTGTGAATCCTAGAGGAATTTTTTTGATTTTCTCATGATTAAGATATGATTAAGATACTAGTTAAGGAATTCGAACATGAGATCTTGATAGACCGATAATTACACATGTTTTCACCCCTATTCTGAAGCCGTTTGTGATGTGGAATCTCGTGTTTTAAGCCGATTTCACGCTAGGTTGTGTGTTTATGTCATATTTCAGGTCCCGGCGTTGGAATCGAGGCGGAGAAACGAGTTCTGGGTCGAAAGGAGCCGAGTTGGGACTAAGGGGGCTGCAGGAGGAAAATACCCGGTCAGGTGGCCAAATACCCGACCGGGTATTAACCAATTTTGGGCGCCCGAGAAGCAGAGAGGGGCCCGGGCACAGCAGTTAAATCCCCGGTCGGGGATTTTGGTGGTAGACCGGGGATTTTCACCTATTGTGGAACGATGCGCTTCAATTATACCCGGTCGAGACCCAAAATACCCGACCGGGTATTTCGACCGGGGATCGCGAAGCAGGCTGTTAAAAGCCTGTTTTGTGCGTTTTTGAGGAAGGGGAGCTGGGTTTTGGATCCCAAACACCCAAGGGACGAACCAAAGAAAGAGAGGGCGATTTGAGGGCATTCTCGGAGTGGAATTGGAGGATTTCTTCGCCTTGGAAGCTCGAGGAACAAGCCCGGACTTGAAGACTGATCATCTGAAGATTCTTACTGCAGTCTCTCTCTTCTCTATGGAGTAACTTCCCTTCACTTAGGTTTTGAGGAACCCTAGCCATGTTTGTTTGATTGGATGATTGTATGAGTACTCTGACTTGATAATCTTGAGTTCATATTCAATCTATGCATGTTTTCACGATTCAATTCTGCTTTAGTCGAGATTATTGATTCTGCTTTGATCCTATGAGAGCGAATACCTGATTAGGTCAATAGAGCACCATAGATTGATAGTAGTGGATCGATTGCTTTAGTCGAGGGTTGATTCACTGCTTTGTATCGATTGAGAACCTCATTCGATAGAGGGAATCTAGTTCAGAACGCCTTGATCAGTTGTTCTAGAGAAGGATACGTCCCTCTAGGCAATTCATTCAAGAGGGCCTTGTTCCTTTAGTCGAGACTCAAGGTCTAGTTAAGGATTCTCCGCATTGTGAATGAAAGTGAAACAAGTTAGAGATCATCAATCGTTAATCTGGCTAGTGGCTAGGGGGAATCATACCTAAGTGAGTTCCCAACCTGTAATTAGATTAACTTTAACTGTAGTTTGCTAGAGTAGTTTTAGTTCTTTCAACTTAATCTGTTTTGCTAGATAACGAACTGAAGCTGAGTAATAGTAACTCTAGAGACCCGTGGATTCGATATTTATTACTTGAGCCACTATACTGCAGTCCCTTTCATTGGTTACACTTGGCCATTGTTAGGTGTTGTGTCATAGCGAGTCAAGTTTTTGGCGCCGTTGCCGGGGAACTTTCTAGAGTATTAGGAAAGGCAGAAGTTTGTTACTTTAGCGTTTTTCTTTTCTTTTCCACCCTTGCTTTTCACTTGGGTGTTTTTGTTTTTGTTGGTGCAGATCTGAATCATGGATCCTCATGGCTTCTCCAACCATTGGGGGTATCCACCACCATCCGAGTGGTATTACCCCGAGACACCCTGGAGCAATCAAGGAGGAGAAGACTATGGATCCGGGTTCCAGTACCAACCCCCTTTCTATGGAGAACAATCTGACCCCTGGGCATATCAAGAACAATCTCATTACCAAGAAGACTTTCTCCCACAACCAGAAGGGCCATCAGCGTTGGAGTTACCCATGGCGGCCTTCACGGGCCATTCTGCAGAGCCATGCTACACTCCGCAGCCAGATCCAAACTACGAACTGAAGCTTCTCCTGGAGCAGTTTGTTCGGGACTCCGAGAGACGCAATCGCAGAATGGATCTTCACATCCAAGCCCTCCCCTCTTCCGATCCCTCATATCTCCGTGATATGGAGGAGGCTGTTCAACGCTCAGCGAAGCAAACAGAGTGGGTTGAGCAAGTTTGTGCACAACTTGCTCAAGATCACCCTTCTGCTACCATACAAGAAGAGGAGGAGGAAGAAGAAGGCTACACGGACATTAGGGAGCACACAGAAGTTGTCACGGAGAGCTCCCGTGATGATCATGATCAGGAATGTCCTGTCGTAGCCGACCACCCTTTCCCACATCCCACACTGCGCTTTGAAGAGGTGGGCATGAGTGAGGAGATGCAAGAAGATCTCATGAAAGAAATTGCTTGGCAACTTGCTCTCCAATCCGTGCTAGAAGAAGAAGAGCAAGAAAGGGTGCAGAAAGAGGTTGTGGAGGATGACGAAAGCGAAGCAGGAGGAGTTCTTGATCATTTCCCAGGGGTGATACCACATGAAGAAGAAAGGGAGGTTGAAGGAGCAATTGGCGTCCAGGCCGAGGACGAAGTTGAGGTGGAAGAGGCTTGCACCGGCCATGAGTTACATGTGATATCTCCCCCAAACTTCGAGGAATTGCTCAGCAAGGACCCATTTGCAGTGTCTCTTTGCCAGACCAAGGCCACATCGACATCGGTCCCTCTTGGTGGACGCGATGGTGGCCAATCGATGCTGTCTTATCTGGTTTGGGGCAATGAGACGAGAGAAGAGAAGAAGAGGTCTCGAGGGTGGAGACTTCATCTGCATCAAGTACACGAGCCTTCATCACCTGCCACACCACATGCTCGTGACTTGAGACTCCACCTCATTGATGAGAACCTCAACTTCAAGGAGGTTCTAGCATGGACCGAAACTTAGGAGCCATCGTCCGGCTCACGACGTGAAAGAAGCGCTTG